CCGGCTTCAGGGTTCAGGGGCTTAGGAGGGCTTTAGAGGTCCAGGGTTTAGGTTCTGTCCTGTGGTTCTAAGTCCCGGTTCCAGTAGCGGTGTAAGGGTAATGGGGTTCAGGGCATACTTGCAGGTGGGGTAGTCATAAGTAGCATCATAAGTCCTTAGTATGGTTTATAGCTTGTAAACCCGGGACCCGGGTTACAAGTAGGATGACTCCCACAGGGTCCAAGTACCATTATAGTAGGTACTTAGTAGGTATTTGGGCCCCAAAAGTATATACTATACTAGTACTTGGACCCTTTGGGACTATAGTTGTGACCCATATAGAAGGGCAGCATCGCTCTTCTTTTACTCGCGCTTCACTTGTGGGGCCCTTTGTGAGTATGTTGTAAAAGTCCATGAAAGACTGTAGAACCATGTCAGCCCCTAAACCCTAAACACAAAGCTCCTCAAGGAAAGCTGCTTGATTGTATGAGCCTCAGCCCTGAACCCTGGTGCCGCCCCGGCTTCATCCTGAACGCGAAGGTTTGGAGTAAGGCCTAAAAAGCATAGTGATGATAGTGAACATAGTAGTAGCAGTAGTAGTAGCAGTAGCAGTAGTAGTAGTAGTAGTAGTAGTCGTAGTAGTAGTAGTAGTAGTAGTAGTAGTAGTAGTAATTAGTGGTAGTAATTAGTAGTAGTAATTAGTAGTAGTAGTAGTAGTAGTAGGAGTAGCAATAGCAATAGCAGTAGCAGTAGCAGTAGCAGTAGCAGTAGAAACAGTAGCAGCTGCAGCAGCAGCAGCAGCAGCAGTAGCAGTAGCAGGACGTCAGCAGCAGCTGGAGCATCAGTAGCCGTAGCAGTAGCGTCAGCAGCAGGAGCATTAGCAACAGTTCAACAGCAGCAGCAAGAGCAGTAGTAGTAGTAGTAGTAGTAGTAGTAGAAGAAAACGGAACAGTAGCAGCAGCAGTCGCAGTAGCAGTAGCAGTAGTAGCAGCTTTCTGCAATAGTAGCAGCATGGCAGTTTTGGCGCCCTCTTGCGCGCACATTGCGGGTGATGGGTTGCACCCAGCTGCGACAACCTGTGCACCGACGATGAAAGAACAGATTGATGCTTTGTTTGTTGGTGATCATGGCAACGACGACAACTTAATGGTAACTGCTTCTAGAAACATCACCTTGGTTATTCATACGGCTGTTTCTACTACTGCCCCTCTACTTGCCACGACTGCTGCTACCACTACATCTTCATCATCAGCAATTGCGGATTATAACCTACAGTCTCGTGGTCTTCACCCTCAGAAGCAATGCCATTGCCAACGCTATGTTGCCTTGCTCCTCAACTTGTTTCCTAGCTGGCCACGGCCATGCGGGTACGACGAGCAATGAGGCAATGCTAGAAACATCCACGAAACATTTGAAAGAAGTGCCCGAGCAGTGCTCACCATGACTTCCCAACATCCCCAGCAACAACAGACATTGGCAATAGCAACCTGCATAGCGTCTAGTAACAACCTTTCCATGATTTCAGGCTCTTCTTCAGTGTTTGATGCAGAAGCGTCACTGGTGCCTCCTGCTTCTTCAGCAGCAACAATGCAACATTGATAACTGCCATAGCAAGGTCAAAGTTCATGTCGTCATCGTACACATGGTAACTAGAAGCAAGATAACGGCACGAGTTGGAAACTTACATATCGCAGTAGCGGTATTGATAATGACTTTGTTTCGCCAGCATGTTCGTCACCACCATCATCATCACATTGGCATCGTCTCGCACCAAAAGCAGCAGCTACAATTACACAGGAGCCGGACGACAGCAATGACGATGAAAAAAGCCTTTTCCATTATTGCTGTAGCACTTCTTAGACAGGCACACATGAAAAGCACGACCGCTCGAAAGGAAGAGAAATACCCAGCATTGAGTCAGCATGATCAGCTGCATCATCGCTGCATGCATCACTGTTGACATCATGATTGCAACATCATCTGCTGCATCGTGCCCGGCCTGATTCTCACGGCGTGCATGCACTTGTCAACGTCATGGCCATCACCGCCACAAGCCGCAATCACAGTACGAGCTCGAAACATGGGGATAGCCATAAGCATCATTAGATCATGTAGCTTTGGCACGCAGAGAACTACTTGGGCAGGAGCTTGGATAGCAAGGGTTTTCATTTTCATCAAGTCACCACCAACATCGCCGTAGCATGTGGCGGCCAAATTCACGGCTGCAGTGAGAGGCGGTCCGCAAAATTCAAGCTATCGGCGAGAACCGAACTGGATGGAAGTCCATTAGTAACAAAGCTCAGAATCCGTAGCATCAGTCAAGCTTTGCGTACTGACGTCCACGAGATCCTTTGGTGTCAGCGAAAGTTGAATATGCACGAGGACAAGCAGCAAAGATTGCAAGAATTGTCGCCAGCGTCATCAGTATCCTAATTCCCAACAACAACCCCCAATAAAACCATCAACAACCCTGCATCCTATTTTATTTCTCATGAACTCCAGATATACTCCGGTGTCATCATGCTGTGTTCTTGCTTATCATGTTCCGTTCACTGTCCCCGCTTGCGTGCCATGGCCGTCGTGAGTGTTCATAGCCACAGAATTGTTCTCCGAGCAATCGTTATTCGTAAAGGCCTTCGTAGCAATTGATTTGCAATGGTTGTAGGGAATGACCACAATGCCGATGCAGAATAGACAGGGTACAGCTATAGTCAACAAGACCCGGCTGCCCACCGTTATCATTATGACCTACGTCAGCCTTCACCTTCGACGTCATCGTCATCAGCAGAAACCACCTGCAGTTGCATGCCCACTGTGCTTTTGGTAAGCACGAAGCCTGTACATGACCATTGGCATGCAATTACGATGTCGATGCTTCGCATCACGCAACACACTAAAGGTAGGGATCATCACGTATTCACGAGTGCCACCGTCATATTTTTGTGGTTGCTGCAAGGTACTCATGCGTTTGCACACCTGTGCGTCATTGTCATTGTCATGCTACATTTTCCCTACAGGAATTATTTGAGCATGGACATGTCGAGTCTTGCCACGGTGCTGAGGACCGAGCCGTTCATTCGAGCTTTGGCTGCGCTGCATGGCTCTAGGAGAGCTCAGGGCAGCGTCGAGGCGGGCTTCCAGCACAGAGCGAGAACTCAATGCGACGACTCCTTTGTGTTTTTGCAAGAAGCCTGGAGGACACGGAGCCCTTGGCAGCCGGAAGCCTGGTAAGAGATGGCGCGGAGTCTTTCTTTCGTGAGTGTTGTGTTTTTTTTGACGCCGGGCCTAGTGATCATGACCACATGACCACTTTAGGTTCGAACTTGCTTCATGGAGGGTCGGTGGCACTCCTTCATCTAGTCAAGGCGATGTCCCAGCAGCTCCGTCGATATCACGTTGGCACCGTGTACCGCGAGGTGAGGGAAGCGCTGTAGTGTAGTCCCGGATGCTTCGCAACAGTTGTCTAAGGAACAACAAGAGAGAGGTTTCCAACAAAGTTTAAGCTATGCATATGGGCTGCTGGCACGAGGCACCAAGCTCAGAGATGTATGCACAATCCCAGCGGCAAACTCAGCTTTCAGATGCCACTTATGCTGCAGATGGCCAAGGCAGGATATATCAAGCAGAACGCCAGCACTGACTGTGAACATGGTAACCTCAGTTTCAGTGAGGACACACCTCGCAAAACTAGTGTTCTACAAATCGAAGGGGAACCAGGTCGAGGTGCAATCGTCTCCGTGTTTTATGAGCACGATGCTGGCCACGGTCATGATAGGTATGCCTGTCTTTCCTTGTTAGGGATGGCATTACTCAGTGCTATTGCTGCATGTGCCGTATTCTATCGAGATCATCTTTCTGGTTTGATGCTGCCCGTATGCTCATGATTTGAATTGATCGTCTGCTGCTTTTGTGAAATTCGGCATGAATAAACACCAGAACTTGAGTAGGAATGTAGCGGTGGACAGTGTGGAGCTCAGAGTGGTTTAGACTCCGGTGAGACTTAAGCGATATGGTTACACCCAGCGGAACAGCCCAGGCCGTTGTCACATGATGGTGGTGTCATGACCTAGGTTTGGGCATCCCCGTGAAGTTTCGTCTGCTGTGGTTCAGTTCCTGTGGTGGTGCCGGCGAGCTTCGGACGTGTTCTGGAAGGGGATGGGGTCTACTGTTTGTGGTGCCTACAATCGCACGCGTCGGGATGTTTTGAATTGAAGAATTCCTCGGTCAGAAGGGTTAACCGCGCCAGGCATCCAAATCCAGCTCTGGAAGCAGACCAGGACTCTTGTTTGACGTCCCTCGCGGACTTCCGAGCCGTGGATGCAAAGCTCCTTTTCAGGAGCCCTTCGGCACCTCACCGATGTCGCGCTGCAAGCTTACTGCGTGAAAGCCGTTTGCTTTGGGCGTGAAGAGGCTTTCTTGTCTGTGTTCAAGCAGACGCATTGTGACAACGCCAGCAATGGTAGGACCCTGCACAAGCAGCGCGCAACGCAAATGTTGCAAGCCAGCTTCAGGGCTTTAGCATGAGCCAGATTGCGTAAGCACCTGCCAACAGCTTGCGAAGCATGCAACGAGAACTCATTCATACGACATACGCGGCAGTGCTACGATCCATGTCTCCTGGATGCATCGTGGTGCTCCTCGGGGTGTGCGGCCAAGTGCAAGCAGTATATGTGAGTCGTTGTGCAAGTAGCAAGCCCCAGCCTTGCTTGCATGTCGCAAGGTTGCTTTGACGCTTAGCGAGAGCAAGTCGCCGCCAGCAACGGTGTCTGGATGCAGAGACCAGTTTTGACACAGCAGGGGTGGGAGTTGTGTTTTTGTGCAATGGCATTGGGGCAGCGAAGGTAGTGGCAGGAGACGGCTGTGTGATGTCTCATGTCCGGCCCCAGAGCTGGAACACGCTGTCTCAAGATGCCACATCTTGGCAAGACTGGGAATGCATGCTGGCAGTATCACTTGAGCATGCCAGAGGAGCCACTGATTATGGAGGTGGGAGTGCAGACCTGCCCGGTCATGGCAAACCCATGCAGGACTTGCAGGGTTCCCAGAGATGGAGCACATCTCATACCTCAGATGTTGGATGAAGCAGGATTTTGCCCACCTGGCAGGAGCTGGGATTGAAGAAGCCCGTCGATGTTCTCACAGAGGTTCCAGACTGGCAAACCTTCTACCAAAACTATGTCCGAGTAAACCGTGGGCCAGCCGCATTTTGATCTACCGGGGATCATGTTGAGCAGCTGATGCGGCTTTTTGCTACACTCCGTGCTTTCAGGTCCGGTTGTGCTTCGAAATGCTGCTCGAGCCCAGCTCCCCGGCGCACACATGATGCTGCTTGCTTGGCACGCAAGTGGCTAGCACGACCTGTGCCACAGGAGGGCGTTTGACAAGTGGACGGATGACTATCTTGTCGATCTATGGGGGCAGGACAAAGTCATCGACATTGAGATGAAAAAGGCTGCTTTGGAAAGCTTTGTTACATGTTGTGCTCCGGGTTCGTCGGGGAGCACTTTGGGAGAGGCTGCTCGTAGTTCTTCGTAAGTTTTCGATGTGTGTGTGTGTGTGGGGACTCTGCGCGCGCATGTGCGCAAGGTGGAAGAGCGAGGTGGGCCATCCGTCCAGTGGCCCTTCGATAAGTTCGTCAAAGAGATATATGAGGTGCATTGCTGAGGTCGTCATACACGCAACGACCCGGAAAGCATAAGAACCCCAGTGTTTTTGCTTTGCTTGCTGTCGAGGCAGATCGAGAAGACCAACTCTATGTCCCTTAGGCAGCAGGCAGCTGCGGGTTCAAGCAACTTTACCCCGGCAGCTGTTGCCGCTTGAATTCTGTTCCTAAGGCGGTGATCGGCTTAGAGGATGACGAAGCACTGGCGGATCTGGATCTGCCAGAGCCGGCCAGATGCAAAGAGGCGCAGGGGCATCAGCACAATAATGGGGTGGAAGCATGTGGAAGCCACATTGAAATATGTTGAAATCTTGCTCGTGGGCCATAGCGAATGCTGGAGCTGCTCAGTGCAAGCTTCTGGGCTTCGGGCTAGTGGGAGTCAGATGACGGGAAGCATGAGCCCGGCTCAAACTGCTTCTTGTCTTATTGTTTACAGGAGCAGTCGAATGGAGCATCATGTAGAATTGATCGGACAACACATTTGCAGCTGCAATGTTGTTAATTGATGTGGGGGGGAACCGTTTCGCAAGACGGTCCGGAGCAAAGGATGCTGCGATAGTATGTCTGACCCTGTCTCAACCCCGTTACAGGTGTGGCCTCAGTCTGTCACGCTTTGGATGAGCAGCGGCGGCACTATGTCGGCATGGCTCCCAGGGCATTCTGCTCCTTGGAGGAATTCTGGAGCGTTGAGACAGACTCGAAGTCTAAGGTTCTGCACAATGACGACGGCGAGAACTTTCTGATGCTGCTGGACGGCTACAAGAGTGCCGCCGGGCCTATCTGGTCCCAAGAGAAGTGTTCCTCTTTGGACAGTGGCAGAGACGCGGCCGTGCGAAGGTCATGCTCGTACACCAGGATGAAGCTCCCAACATGTACGCTCATGTGGCCAAGGCCCAGCACGAATGCGTCATGCCACATGTGGGACCGCTGCCTGTAGCATCTGTAGCATCGCTGTCGGTTCTTTCGTTCGCTGCTAGGTGCGAGGGACGTCCCCAGTTCGCCAGGACACTTATGAGCTGTGCAACGGAGCCGGGCAGTAGTCTTCGTCACAAGTCGCTGGGGAGGATGCCGTGGACCTGGAAAACTTCCCACGGTTTGCCAACATTACCTGGCTGCATGGTGACATGGGACCCGGGGATACATTGTTCATCCCGCATACCTACTGGCACCAGGCAGGGAGTACCCAACAGACAGACGGACACTCATACACGTACAGACACGCATGTACGTATGTGCCGTAGGCATGCATGCATATCTGTGCGTCATTGTTCCACTATTGTGTCGACAACATCGAAGCGTATTAGAAGACTGGTTGTGTTAGAGTGATTGAATCGGTGTGTCCCGTCTATCGGTCAATGTATCAGTGCGGTGATCGGCATTCCCAGTGTCAATACGTCGGCGAGCATCGATGAGTGTTGATGGACCTTTCTCGATTCGGTCTCTCGGCGTAGAGTGCAGGGTGAGGTGGCTCGCTAGCCACCATCCTGGTCGCAGGCTGTTCGGCCTGGCGATCACAGTGGAGGTGTCGATCAGCGGCCCCTAAACATCTTGTCAAACAATCCTGTGTGTGTGTGTTTTTGTCCGAGGTGTTTTTGAGCTCCTGATATTCGTGTTTCACGTCGTGCATGGATGGGCAATCACAGACCGACACCGTCACCGTGCCAACTGGGGCTGCTGTTCAGCGCAAAACAGAGAGCACTGGCTGATGAACGCCCATGTCAAGATACCGGTACTGTAGCAGGCTTGTCACGGCATGCCACCGACTGGTGCATCTCGATGATGCCGACCAACACATCCATTGAGGCAATGAGCAAAACCGCAAACAAGAAATGAACCATCAAAAGGAAGTAGAATGATCAACGGAATCAGCCTGTGCAGCCACTAGGGCCAGAACGGGACCCAGGCAGAAGCCCGGAGCACCAGGATGCCGACGAACGTTCCGTCGAACGTGCAGAAACAGTGCGGGCTAAACTGGCACCCTTGATTCGCCAAAAGAAACGTGCCGTGACCGGAACAACAAGCCGGACCGCGAGTCTGACCCCGAGTGTTGAACAGCAACTTGTACTAAGCCTGACTCGTCGTCAGTTTTGTCTTGGGTTGTACATACTTGTCGACTAGAGCAATGTGATGACACTACCAGGTACAGTCCTGGATGTTCGGGCTAGTAGTGTGTCCCTTTTGCTTGGCTTGATTAGGCTCGCGGCTGCACTCTTCCTTTCTGTCACGGTTGCTTCACTTTGGGTTGGGCTTCATGATGTGAGGAGTGTGGCTAGCCTTGGAGCTTGCACCCAAACCCTTCTTCAGTTCGGACGAGCTTCCCTGCGGTGCGACTTGGTCAGCTGGACGGGTGGGGAAAATTGTGGTCGGTTTCTTTTCCACTGTCGGTGTCCTCTGAATCGGCCGAACGGGCAGAATCGATGTGTCAACTCCGGCGATGAAACACAGTATCACACTGCTCGGAGGTGAACTCGCGCGGCAGAAACTTGGGGGTGAACATCTGGAAGCTTGGCGTGGCTATGAACATGGAGCGTTACTCAAAAACGGAAGTACTTGTGCAGGGGGATCGTTCTGGTTCTTCGGATGTCTTGAGTCCAGGACGCTGGAACTGAACTACAGATCTTTCATGATCTTTCCGCATGGGACGTATGTGTGTTCCACTTGGAGATGATTTCTTAGGTGGAGCCACGCGGAAGATTGGCGATGGTGGGACTTGAAGAGGCCTTTTACAGCTCTGCAGAGACCGCGCCGTCTGCTGAGTCTAGTGAACGCGATCGTCCTGCCTAGCCGGGGTTGAATCATCAGGTATGATGCCACAAGGTTCGGCACGAAGGATTTGCCTTCGTTTGATGCGCCGCTTTGCTTGCCAGGTCTTTTTCGTGTCTGTCTTTTCCACAGCTGTAGACACTGTAAACGCATGCAGTGCAAGCCTGCCCAGCTCGGCAACTCCATAGCCTCAGGTTCAAAAGCGACGCTGTGAAGGATGCGAAATGCACCTTGGCATGCAAGCGGGTTCGTGCTCGGATGGTTACGGGAACATCGACACGGGTCGGTAAGCGACGCAATCAGTCGAGGCACCCCTCTGGAAGACGACCTGCATCTAGGTGAGATCAAGCTGGTGGACGAAAGGCGCACGAAAGAAGCTCTCCTGCAGTTTAACGGAGCTTTGCTGCTTCGATGTTTCATGTCAAACAAGCATGCTCCTTGCACTCGGCAAGTTTAGAGTTGGAGGCCTCGCATCCAAGAAGCGTCGTTAGTGCTTTGTGCTGAATGAGCTAAGGCGATCATTAAGAAGAAGCGTGCGAAGCATGACACCTGGCAGAACGTTTTTGGTTCTTGTTGACAAGTGACAAGTGTAGTGTTGGTGACTCACTATTCGGGCAACTTCGGCGGTGTGGGAGGGTACACGTTTCGGTGCTGATGAAGATCCTCTTGTTTATCTTGTTTCCCCACTAGCTCAACATGTGTATGTATGTCATATCTATATATATATATGTATATATATATATACATATATATATCTATCTATCTATCTATCTATCTATCTATCTATCTATCTCTGTGGCCCTCCCGCTTGACATTTTTCTTCCGTTTGACCCAGCCTGCTTCCTCGTCTCAACATTCTCGCCACTCCCAACATTCAAAAATTAATTCAAGAAGTGTGCCATGTACCCATCCTAAGACTCCTTGACGAAGACAGAAAAACAGAACATACATGATGAAATGGGTCAGAATCCGGAAAAGCAGCCGCAACCGTGCTTGGTTCCAGTCTGCTACTCCCACACGCTGGCTTTCTTGTTGCACATTCCGGTGTGCAAGAGAGAAAGGGTATTGGGTATGCTGATCAGTTAGATGTGCTGCGTGTAGCGCTGGCATCAGGAAAAGAAGCGGAAGAAGCCTGTGGAGTCAGAGCTTTGAGCCAAAGATTGGTGCCAGAGCATGGAACCTGGCATGTTCCAGCGGGGTATACCCAAAGTGTGTGTGTGTGTGTGTGAGCGCACTCGACCGATCTGGAGCAGAGCTGCCGAAGAGCAACAGCGGCTGCATACCATGGAGCTCACGCCTGTCCACATCATGGATGGAAGGAAGTGTCGACGGCGTAACGCTGGCCCAGTCGATGAAAGGAGTGCAGCTAGACCGAACTTGACAACCTGCAGCCTGCAACAATAGCTTGTTCTCCGTTGGCAAAAGGATGTGCTGCTGCAAGATGCTGTTGCGACAATGTAGCACATGTTAAATACTTCTGGGAGATGCCGCCTCCATCACCTGTTGCCAAGTGCCGGTTGACTGAGAACTGCTTCGGTGTCCAGGTCAAGCGATATCCAGGCAGGGCGGCAAGATCGGGGCGGTCCACGGGAGCACTGTTACATAGGTTTCAGAGGAGCTAGTTAGGAAGTGTGCATGGCTTCCTTTTGTCGGCTTCCGGTCCACCGCATCCGCACGTTTGAACATGCCAGCCTGGCAGTGCTCAGGACGATCCAAAGGAACATGTCCGTCTTGCAGGAGGCACAGCGAAGCCGCACTGCTTTCTTATCGTCAATCACAGTAATTTCTTTGCTGGCAGAGGGGATCGGTCCTGGCTCCGCACTGACTCACTGAAACTTGAATGCTGTGTTATCGCTTTGTTTCGCGCATGATCTGACAGTGACCGAAAGGTGACTTCGCTGTTTGCAGCTGCTGGCTTGAAAGGCTGAGTAGCTACTCGCATTGAGGGAGCAATGGGTCCACGGACCTCGGCCTTATGGCCGGCCGGTCTCCTTCTCGCTTCAGGGGGGGGGCTTTTCTTTGCTCCAGGATTCCTCTGCCCTAGCGGCGTCAGCAGTCCCAGCACCGGCCGAGTGGGACAGCGTGGAGCGGCTTGGTCTTCGTCGACACCACGCAGCTTTCAAAGCTTTAGCTCGGGGGGCAGCCAGACGGTACTGCTGGCTGCTGCATGCGTGGCAGCAAGCGCGTGCCGTGTGTTCAGGCGTACGCAGGACAAACAGCTAGCACCCTGCCACTTGGGTCACGTCACGGCGGTTGCCCCGCAGGAGAGGGACGCTTGAAAGCCACTGTTCTTCTGCCCTGCGGGCAGTGAGAGTTGACTTATGATGAAAGCTGCAGTGTCTAGATGTGTCTAGCATCTGCAGGACCCGGTGGCTTCTCCTGCTTTTGCTGGTGCCACTGCAGTTGACAAGGTTACCTCATCTCGGTCCAAGGTGGCACGGCGCAGCCTCTACAGCTGCTATACGCTCTACTTTCGTCGATGGAGGTATTATGAAGACCGTGCGCGTCGCAATCTTCGCAACCGTGCATACAACATTTTCATGAAGCCACTTGTATGATCTTGGCTGCTCCTGTCCTGAGCCATTTGTGTCAAGTCCCTCGAGGTTGTCTGGTTTTCACCCAACTCTAAATTGGTGGTCTAACATGTCAGTGCGCTGCAGCTGTATCATACCGATGTCAGGAACAAATACAAGAAAGCCATGAAGAAGGTGCTTCGTTATACCGTCGAGTTGATATATGGCAGCTCGGCTGCTGTTGTGCCCATGAGTATACTTTTGGCGGATTTGCTGCGTGTGCCTTGGCGCAAGTAGCCGGGCGATGTCACCTTCCGTCTCGAACGATCAGGGGACAAACAGCCGGCCAGCCATCAAGAGGTCATGGATGAGGTCAAGGCGCGGCCACTGGCTGTCGGGTCGGCGGGCAAGAAGCAGAAACCCGTTTCCAGGAGATGCTTGACGAGGCGTGCGAAGTGATTGACGAGGTGACGGTCCAAGGAGTTCTGCATCGCAACACAGCGGCCAAGCGCAAGGACTCTGCTCGTTCACGCCTCCTGGCTGATATGTGCGCCGTGAGTAGAGTCCTGCAACTGAATGCAGGACCGCATGTTCCGCGCGATCCTGCGCGGATCAGAGAAAAAGGGCCTCATTACCCGTCCATCCGTCGAAGAGGATCCCCAGAATCGGTTCTTGCCTGCCTACAAGGCGCCACCTTGGCCAAACAACGTGTCTAAGAAAAGCTGGAGTATTCCTGGGCTGTGCACTGCTGCTGTCAATTTGGCTAGAGTCTGGCATGTCTTCGGGAACACCAGATCATTGGCTACGAGCTGCCCGAGTGCAACTACGTCCGGGAGCCTCGTCCTTGGCAACTGCCTGGCTGGAAATCTCCGTGGATGTTGAAGTGGGAGTGGGAGTGCCTCTGCTGCATCGGCAACAGTGATGTGTGTTGCAGCTTGGCATTGCATGGTGCATTGCATTTCGCCTGGAGCTCGTTTGGCAAGGAAGTGGAGGAGCCGGAGGGATTGGCAGTCGGCACTGAAGCTAACAATCGCGAAAAGATCCATGTTGCTTGCAGGAAGCTCACCGGCCGGAAGTGAGCTTGAGGGGCCTAGACCAGAGCGTTTTCGGGCGAATGCCCTTGGCTGGCATGAAACCAAGAGAGGTGCATGAGGACCTGTCAGTCTATCGGCAGTAGGTATTAGCCAACTCGCTTTGCCAGGCAGAGCACCTCCAAATGCTGGCAGAGCTCTTCAACTCCGCGAGCATGACAGGCTGGCAGCCCACATGGGAGAAGCGAGCACATGTGGCTTTAATGTCCGAGGCAGAGTCTCTTTGCATTTATCCGACACGCGGCTCCTTCGACTGCTCCAGGAGGCCCACCAAGCACGAATCGTGAGAGTGAGCGTAAGCCTCGTGAGCTCGCAGCGACTGGTGTCTCGAGGTCGCGTATCTCCGAGCTTCACGTGAGGCACGTGCCGCACGGCATCACGACGTTTGAATTGGCCAGGGCAGCAACCGGTGAGAGGGTACATGAGGGTTCCACTGGCCACACCAACAAGCAAGAAATTCGCAGCCTCATTAGACTGAGATGGTTTGCTCCGTGCCAGAGGTTCATACTGGCTTCCAGCTCAGCTGCCTCGACTTCGGAATACCGGTTGCGATGAGAGCAGGTGACCGTGGGCGTTTGCCAGTAGATGACCAAGAGCACGTGCCAGAGCCGTATGGGGAAACCGATCTTTCGTTGAATTTGGGCGACTTCGTCTACTGTGTGGCCTTGCGTGTACAACTGAAACTATGTTGAAGACAGTGCTCCACACTCTACAGTAGCTTGAAAGGTCGCTGAGGCCATCTGACTGTAATGCAGTGCGGCTGCACAAGAAGTGGACCTGAGGTTCAGCCAAGAAGACCGCACTGCCTGGTGCTGGAAAGGCGCTGCCATGCTCTCACCCGCTTGTGCCGTGGAGAGAGCGGGAGAGCGCGCGACAGCAGATTCAAGGAAGCTTGAGAATGTGTCGATGCAGCTAACAGCTAGCACTCCTTTCAGAGGTGCCTCAGCTGGATGACCGCGCAGCCAGCCACGAACTTGGCTCTCACTTGCATGTGCCAGACTGACCTTGGAAAGCCTCTCAGTCACCAGATATGCGTCTTGGAGGCACAGGAGAGCGACTTCGCACGCGGCTGTTGGAGGCCTTGGCTGAGACGACGCAGACTTGGGAACCAGGCCCCCTCCTGACCTCCTTGGCAGGCGCTGAAGGTCATGGCCACAGGCGCCCCGGCATCAAGGCACCACGGTGATCATGTTGCTCTTGCGTGCATGACCCAGGAGAGAAGCACTCCAGCAGCCAAAGTGGCCTGTCAGCTCAGTGGCAGTGCTGCAAAGCATGTCTGGCATCTCGGGTTGGTGTACCTAAGGCAGCAGCAGCGGGAATGCATCGCATGCGGGAGTCTTACACCTTCCGACGGGCCGCAATGGATGAGACTTGCGTGAGTGCAGAAGCCACCCCTACCTTCAGTCACTGCAAGACTTGAGGATACCTAAAGCATGCCAAAGCACGAGCCCGCCACATGTTCAACGTATTTGCAGTCTGCTGGGATGACGGTCAAATGGCGAATCGCGCAGGTTACTATAATCTGTATATGATAGTATGGTATAGTATACTATGGTATCTTATGGAGCATATAAGGTGAACTTGAGCTCGGCCTCGGCTTGGACAGCTCCAGCGGTGCCCCACGCTGCGCTGGAGCGAGCGGCCGCAGAACTGGCGGCGCTCTTGGCAGGTGCCCAAAATTGCTCAAAGACTGCGAGGGTTTTCGTTGAACTCCTCTGCAGGCGCGACGGGCTCGCAGGAGGTCCCAAAACCGCCGTCTGCTTTCCTGAGCGAGGCAGGGATGCGAGAGGGACCAGGGCATAGCGAAAGCAGACCCATTCCCCGCGCTTTTGAAGACATGTGAAGTTCAGTCCAGGTGGAGGAGTTGTATGCAGCCTGGTTGCAGGAGAAGCTTCAACGTCATAGTGACTGCGTAGTGAGCGTTTGTGGAATGTTCTCATGCGCCCGAGGCAGTTTCCAGCGCCCCATTTGGTTCGCCGAGCAGCTCTCAGACGGTGGGATCCTTATGCTCGCTGAGCCCAGCGTCGCAGAAAGCATGAGATGCCCTTGCTCAAGGTGCAGTCGGCAGGCGGCGGGAAGGAGCCCTGTCTCATGAGTCCTGCACGATTTCGTGGACTTGACAGGCAAGCCATCTGCCGAACCATATGCTGCAGCTGCGGAGGAGTTAAGTGAGGTTTTGCCCTCAATGTGCAAGTTGATCTAGAATATAGAAATTTGACAACATGTTGCGAGTCGCAAGGCAAGCATCCTAACTTCCTGCCAGCGAGGTGCTGAGATCTTTGCGTGCTCTCGCTGCCGTCCCAGACCTCATCGTAGCGCCATTGCTGTGAGATGTCCCTGAAGTCCCCGGTCTCCGCCAAGGATTCCGTCATCTCTGCGCAAACCACGTGGCGGTCGATCTCCATAGAGCCCTACATGCCTGTGAATGCCATGTATGGACCCGGGCTTGTATTCAGTGTGAAAATGCCCATGCCTGAGCACAAGCTTTGTGAATGAACTTGGAGCTGTGCCTTGCCTAGAGCCTCCGACACGCCCCGGAAGTGTTGCTGGAAGGTATCCATTGGACAAAAAGGAGCCGACGATGGTCTGTGTCGGTGGTCGCGTGGACCACCTGGTGCAAAGCCCAGAAGCCATGTTCAAGCTTAAGAGCTTGCTGTGGGGCTGTACTGGGCAGGGTTGAGGCTTTTCTGGTGCGAAAGCCCCCGCCAATTGCGCAGGCGAGACACTTTGCCCTTCTACACACCACAAGCGGCTCAGACGCGGCGCTCGCCTCTGAGGCCCGGGTTGGGGCTACTTGTATGGGGCTAAAGCATAAAGCAGCCGTGGTGGCGACGGTCGTGGTACCGTTGGCACAAATGAAGCTTTCTCTCCCGGTGTAAGCGCACAAACCTCACATCACATTTGCCCAGTCCTTCGCGCTGGGAGCCGCAGCAGGCAGTGGCGCAAACGGGCTGCAACTTCCAGGGATTCTCATACTCCTTTGACGATGTCCATTGTCATCAGTGTTCTCCATGACCACGACAGGCTCCGACGATCTGTGCGCCGTCTCTTCAGAACTTGCCATGGACAGACCTCTGCGGTTTCGTGTGCTCTTTTGAAGCGCATGTTTTCGTACTTTTGGATGTGGATGGCTGCCGGCACCGTTAAACTTCATAAGGAAATAAGCGACAAACTCAAGGCTTTTGCTTGGTGCTGGGTGGGGGGCACATCTCCGCATGCCTCTGAAGTGGATGGGAGGACAAGCTTTCAAGCGGCTTGCTGCAGCTCGCGCAGGCAGCCCATCAACGCAGGAATGAATTGTTTGGTAAAGTTATGCAGTGGCTGATCCTGGTAAGTGCGTATGTGCAGGGTGCAGGGAGCACCTCGAACTCCAAGCAGCCCTTTCCTCAGCTTTGAACGTCCCGGCGCTACGTTCGCTACTGTATGCTTGCATAGCGAAGTGGTGACGTGTTCCAGCAGCGCTGGCTCTCTTAGCACAAGATGGATTCCAGTCAGAGCTGTGGCCGGCTACAGCGGCAATGTCGATTTGCTTCCCCGTAGAGCTAACGGCGGAGCTGATGAGGGCACTGCTCACTGACGCCACTTCCTGCATGGCTGAGTTTCCACATGCAGACGCACGGAGTTGCAGGCGTGCTACCCAAAATCTATGTACATTAACTCCTTGGCATTTGGTTTCAGTGATGTCCGGGTTTAAGTTGGCAAAGGGAACTTCACTGGTTACAGATTTATGGCAAAGGACAGCCTTTTCAAGAGTTGGATTGCGCCGATTGAGAGGCAAGGAACGTTCGTGTAGCCCGATTGAGCTATATTGAGGTGAGATTTGAAAAAAACCTGCAACTGTAACCTCCACTGAGCCCTCCTCAGAGACACAGCATTCAACTCTGATCCGTCGCAGGTCTGGGCTTCAAGCGACACTCGGACTCTCTGGATTGTCTCGTTTTGAATCTTGCATGTACAAGCCCGAAACTGTGTCCGGATGCTTTCTCTCCTTGCTCAGCAAAGGCTAGCTGCTTTCACACAGACATGCGTCCGGAACAAGGATGCTGTTGCGCTGGCTGATCTGTGGTGTGCCCTACCGGCACATCGCCTTGACACAACACCACACTTCACATGCAGACTTCATGCTCGTGCGGTCTACGCTGCCGGAGGCAGGGCTGCAGACATCACCCTGTGGCCATCGGGCACGTTCGCTGGTGCAGCCCGGATGCACGGATGCTTTGGCGGATTTACATAACCCACTGTCAGAGACACCATATGATTCAATATGATACAATGATACATAATGAATGCATTCACGTGGACGGAGCCGTCGTGCACGAGGCAGAGGCATCGCGACTGTCACTGGCGCGGAGGCTGAGCATCTCGGGTGCTGCCTGCCGCAACTCGGACGGACGGTTGACACAAGCAATTGAGGTGTGTACAGATGGTTGTTCAGACTACCTGTCTCCTGGGATCTGTGAGCTTCTCCTGCTCTCAGCGTCTAGTGCTCGTACCAACTGACGCTACTCCAGCAAGATGACAGCTACTGCGACGGGGGGAGGACAAAGACAGACATTGCAACTGCTATTTGCTGCTGCCTCCACCACTTCCGCATCTGCTACTAGGGCTGCTTCGAAAAACACTGCTCATGCTGCTCGGTTTTAACGGCTGCCAGATACCTATGGCCGAGTACCAGTTACTAGACGCCATACTACTAATGTGACAAAATTCTGTTCGTTTTACTTGCTACCCGGTCAACCAGTGAGTGCACATCGCACCAAATCGCCCCTCACACGTGGATTCGGGAGGGTGCCAAATGGAATTTCAAGGAACAATTTAACTTTCAGTCTGGAGCAGTCGTGAATGGACGCCAGCGGAGGGGGGGCAGGGGGCAACACAAAGAGCGTACATTTTTCCCCCGTCGCTCATACCTTGCAAATATGTAGAATATTGCGAGGCGCCATTTGAGGGCTTGTCGCTGCAAGGCCGGTTCCATGTTCTTGGAGCGAGCAAGAGCAGCAAAGACGTGGAACAATCAACCCTTTCGTTCTACTCGGTGCTCCGTTGTACAGCCAAGCGTGCGAAGTGGAACAAGGACGAGTGCCCCCTGAGGCTACTAATTAATTGGTTTGGCCTTGAACCCCTTGATGGTTCCATGTTTGCTACATGGTTCAGCGATTGAAGCTGGACTAGCAGTGACTAGCAACCGGTGGAAGATTCCTTGTTCAGGAAGTTAACCCACCTCCAGCAAGAACCGTCAATGGAGAAGTTGAAGTGTAGATGTTTGTGAACGTGGTTTGTTGGGCGGGTGCTCCAAGAAACCGGGTGCAATGCGAAAGTGTAGCAGTAGCACGAGCTGCCAAACTCGCGATGTACTGCAAGTCGAAGACTAAGAGCACTGCATCACTGTTTGATATACCGAGAAATCGTCAATATCGGCTCATCGACGGGCAAGAAGGCGTGGCTTTGCTCTACAATGCCGTCGTTGTGAACACATCTTCCAAAACCACAGGGGGCTGTGAGCAATTGCGGCCTTTACCTCCAGAACGAAAGGAATTCTAGATTAATGTTTCAATCCGCAGTCGCCAAATGTAGCAACCGGCTTCAACATGTTCTGACTTGGTGGTTTTAGCACATGCATCGGCCTCCCAGTGTTTGCGGCCCAGCAAGCACAGCATCTGATGTCAGGCTACCTCAGCATCAATTGCATGGTGCTGCAATCGGGTGTGAACCGTCTGCAAAAAGCAAGTGGGCCATGGCTCAGGCACACATGAGGCAGGTAGAGCGCATTGCGTGGAGGGCTCATGACTGGTGTTCGAGCCTTCAGAAGCTCTGGCATGCTAGCAAGGCCCAGCTGCGAAGAGAATCACAACTAAGAGCCAACATGTGCATGCAGCGACGATATGTATTGAGACTGTTGTGCGCAGCTTGCAGCGTTGACCCCCTCCCACCCCTGACATGTTCGATCATCGGTCAGTAAGGATTTGAACTGGCTTTCCGCGTGTTGCCGTGCTGTGGAGATGCTGCAGCTGCGGCAGCCTGGCATGCTTGGCTTCGGTTGCAGCAGTTAGCAGCCTTCAGGAATGTTTCTGTGATTGGTGCCACAGGTGGCTGGGCCCAGAGATGAGCATCGAAGCAGCGTGGCTAAGCACCTGGGCGCTGTCCCTCAGGCTGCCACTCGCATGCGAGAGAGCTATGGCAGTTCTAGATGGAAGTTTGGGTTTGTTGATCAGGGTTGTCGTGGCAGATGGTTAAAACCAACAAACATACACACAGCAAGCTCGTGGCCTCAACGAAGCCTTGCACCATGTACAGGTCGAGCCAAAGGTTTCTCAAGCCAGGCGCAGGGCTCCAAAAGTACGGAGGTGTGTGAAGCCTTGAATTTATCAGAAAATCGCAGGTTTTTTGTGTATTCCGACGAGGCGCAGCCGGGATCACTCATGCGTACTCTTTGCTGAGGTTGACAGTGCAGTTCTGGTACGACGATTGCCTGGGCTCTCCTCCAGTCATGGAGGCACTTTGCCTGGAAGCTGTTGCGAATAGTGCATGTAGCCGTTGATTGGCCGTTGAGCCTGCCTTGATTTGCAGGTGACGTGCCTGATCCTCGAGACTTGCCAAGCACTGGAGGAGCGCTGCACACGCTGATTCGTAGATGCTGCAGCAGTGCAGCCCTGAATCCATGCGTGGCTGGGTCAAGGTTGAACCCCAGACATTAGTTGGAAGACTATGGAAGACTAGTCCTGTCAGGAGTTTACTGAGTGTGGATGCTTCTTCAACACTATTGGCCAGGACCTGTGCATCACCGGCATCGACTGGCCTAAGGCAAAGCTTGCGATTCTTCGGGCTTTGCAAACCCTGGAGTGCTTTGGTGTAGTTGGAGCTGCACACCTGCCACCTGCACACCTGTGATATCTGAGGAAGCGGCCACTGCTGAAAAGGCTCTCCCTGGAAGGCTCGCAAGTGTGGCACGAGGACGCATCTCAGCCATGACCAGGGTCTGGCCAGAATGCGCCCAGAGTTGCTCGAGTCAGCTGAGGAACTTCGGATGATCAAAGCCATGATTCCACGGGTTGACGTGACCATCCTGGCTGACCGCACCCGCTGACGCTGACTCCACGAAGTTGCAACAGTCTCATCCATGACCTGGACCAGAATCGGTGCAAGCTATGCGCGGAACCAGCTCCTTCCACAGCTGAGAACCCCACGTGAACGGAAAGAAGCAGCAGTTCCAGACGATCCGAACCAACAGCCTGGACTCACGGAGGAGATTGCACTTGCTGAGACGTAGCGCGACGGGAGCAAAGGGAGCGGGCAAGTTGTCGAGTTTCACTGCACTGCCCAATCTCGCTGGGGCATGAGCCGTTAATGAACGATTGAGCTTGAAAAGCTGCATCGGCCGCTGCCTTCCTTGATCTGGTGACTCAGTCTAGCGCCATCAAAAGTGCCAGTCCGACCATCTGCATGTTGATCAAGGGCTCTGTGCCTGCCAGTAGAAGTGCTGCACCAGCATGTTGCTTCTGTCAGATTCCACGCTCTGAAAGCTTCAACAGGCGTGGCAAGAGCTCACTGCCAGCTGGAGCCCAAGAGGGGACCGGTCAAGTCGGAGTTTCGTCAAGCTTCCTCGGATTGCATGATATATCCTGAATGTCACGTCGTTTTATAGGTGAGTTCGTCTGCAAGCGTCCTGGCTCAAGTGACGCTAGTCGTCGGAACGATGTGGGCGCGCTTTCACCGCAGAGCATTTGCGTCGCTGCTAAAACTGCAGCCGCCTCCCCACAGACAGGTGGGTGTTTGCACCCGCAGAGCCGGGCACGCCGTCCGTTCGTTGCCAGGGCCTGCTGCCACTCCTGGCGCTCGGTGCTGGGACTGGTGTGCTCGTATTGAAAAGACCTGCCAGCTCACCTTGCAGCTCGGTCGTCACAGCCTCACGAGGCTTTGAAGAAGTGAAAGTGTGCAACCGTCTGGTTGTGTTCTCTCTGGACATGTCTTTATGCTTTATGCACATTTTTCTGTCACGCGGACCGAGGTGCTGCCGAGCAGCAGAAGGTGGCATTGATCACAGGAAGCTCCACCGGCATTGGCAAGGCCGGCGGTGCAGTGCAGCAGACCCGAGCCAGATTCCCGATCACTTGGTCCGGTGGGATCAGATGTGATCGCTGTTGAGATTTGTGTTCGTACTTACTGTCAGTGTTCTTGGTACTCACCCTTTCTCCTCGTATTTTTGCACATCGTACGTCGTAGGGGTTGTTAGCGCTGTAAAGCGACGCAGGCAGTGGCCCAGCGCCTTGCTGCCGAAGGCTATCGGGTGGTGGTGAACAGCGGGCGGCCAAGAGTCCCAGGGAATGCCAAGGGATTTCTATGGGATCCCTTTGGAGCGGCCTTCTTTCCGACGTCAGCCAAGGCCACAGCACGGTGGAAGAAGGGACAGCTTTGGCAGCTACCCTTCCAGGAGGAATGTATATACAGGCAGACTGCAGCAAACGAGAGGGCTGCGAAGGCCTGGTCGAAGAGGTTCTCAAACGATGCGGACGACTGGATCTCTTAATCTGCACCTTGGCCGCCTTGGCCGTACGGGTGCAGTGTGGTCTTTCCCACTTCGGCTTGGCAGCCGCCAGGCAATGCCGGCCTGGGGAAGGTCATACCGCATGGGAATTTGGAGCTAATCGATGATGAGTGCCTCAGATGCTGTTCATCTGGCTCATGTGCATCTTGACGCATCCTTAGGGGCATGACTTTGTGCATGCTTGCCGTCCGGGTTTCAGGCTTAAGACCTCCCCGAGCGTGAACCTTTAAAGATGAAGAAGAGCGCGCCCGTTGTTCCTGAGCCATGTTCTGATCCCGATGAGTTGCCAGACATTGAAGCAGCACCAGGACTCGGATCCAAACCTGAGGTTGTTGGGGCGACAGGCCTCGACTCGTCCCTGAACTCAGGGGCGGGCAAGGAGACGGTGAGCGACATTAGCATGATCAGGCAGCTGCTCAGTCGAAAGGTCACATGGGTGCTGGTGACGGCACTGACAGTGTGCCTTTGCTATGCCCTCGCCCGTCCCGCGATATGTTCAGACGTTGACAAGTGCCAGCTGCACCACGACAGTGCTGCAGACTTGATTCCATACAGCCGCTACATTGCATCAGCTTTGTCTGCGGTCTTGCTGCACGAGCTTGTCTCGGTCATTCTTACGCATCGGACGGCCAAGAAAGCGATTCACCTCATTCCGAACATCAGGGAATCCCTTCTCCCGTCTGCACTTCTCTGCACCACGTTCGCCGTGCTTCTTGCTGAGAACGCCGTGTTTCTGATAGGGGACACAGCTTGGTTTGCACATGCAGCTTCAGTTGGCGATGCCGACTTGGACGGCTTGCCGGTGTACAGCGTCTTCTATGCTGAGTGGCTGATCAACGTTCCAATTCTGCTTATCCTGGCCGGGACGTGTGCACTTAGCCGTCCAGCACCAGAAGTATCTGAGCCTCTGGTCATCACAAACGTCTACATGATCCTTGCTTGGAGCGCAAACTTCATCTCCAGCACCCCTGTCCGATACTGTGTAGTTTGTGCGCCTTGGCTGCTCTTAGCTGTATCCTTCTGGGAGTGCACGAGCAGAGGAGTTTTGCAGCAAGTGGAGATCAAACGCAAAACCACTTGCAATGAGCTTCACCAGCAAAGGCATCTTTCCTTATGTACTTCCGGGCTTCTCGCGACATGATTCTATGGGTTCTACGCTGGAAGAAAGACAACCCCGAAGGTGGCCCAGCTGATCCCAGCTGACGCTGGTTCTCGCTTGATCAGGGTTGATCTTGTCTCCATGGGATTCTGAGCGCATTGCATTCGCTGAGGTCATGTCCTCGGACGTCCTCTCTTGGCCATCTCTCTGATAGTCGTTTTCGGAGTATATGGGATCGTGTACTTGGGAAGACTACATGGCATAGTCCCTTGGAGTGGCGAGCGAATGTTTTTCCTCGTCATGAACTTCACAACGAAGCTTTTCGCCTCCATGGCGCTTGCAGGAATTCGTTCCAGTGAATTTCAAGAAGTTTTGTTGGGCATGCTGGCGAACACACAAACATCCTTCAAACGGGCCCTCAATTACGAGGATGTCCCTCTCCTGGCCGAATAGCAGAGTTCCTCAGGGGTAAAGTTTCAGTTCGCATTTGCAGCCCATGCCTGCGATGAGTTTGAAGACTTAGACACCTCCCGTCACCTTTAGACACTCATGCAATCCGGAGATTTCAGAACTGGACATTGGAAGTGGTGCAAAGTCTGAGGTTAACCACAGGCAGCCTGGCTAGCGTAGTGGGAAGCTGTTGTCATCGCTACCCAAATACTCAACACAAGAAGGGTTCCAAAACATGATGGAGATAGAACAGCTACACCTTTGTGTATCTGGGTATTATGTGCCTTGAGGTTGCTCAGACTTTCCTGTCTTTCCCCAACAGACACTGCAATGTCTTGGAGCATGCTTCTGTTTCTCGATCTAACAGCGCTGCGCAATGTCAGCGTTTACCGTTGAAAGTGGGAGTTTCAGAAGGCGAAGGACCCGAAACCCCAAATTAGAGCCCTAAGCAAGTAGTCCGATGCTCGCCCCCAAAAGAGAACCCTAAGTCTGAGAAACTTCCAAGAGCCGGCCAAACCACCTCGCCAAAGGCGAGAATTGCTTCTTTTTTTAAGGTGGAGCGAGCCGAAATAGGTTGAGCCCCGTAGTTGCTGTCAGATGGTGGATCGTATCTTGGTGGAAACACCTGTGGCCACAGAGCTGGTTATTCCCCACTGTTTGGGGCGCTTGGGGTATAGCATTATGGGGTCCTGCCGAGATGCCCGTGGCGTGCGCGCAATTCCGGCTCCCGCGTCCCATGACCTGCAGCACGTGCTGCAAATCCGGTCCCCGTGTCCTATCATAGCTGTGGTGCGGTGCATGAGTTTGACGAGCGTCCAAAGTAATGTTTGCAGAGGATGGTGCGTCCTGCACGTGCCCCGAGGCCAGGATTCGCTCAAACAGCACTCTAATTACAAGAACCACTCTTGGCTCTCGAAAACCTTGAATGGTGGCAGTGAAAGTGGGAAACGAATCCGGGTGTCCGCTTGAATCCCCAGAGCCAAGCGGCAGAAGCATAAGTCAAACGCGTCGGCACGTGGAGGTCGGAATGCGATTCCGCAGTGCTCTCGAGTTATTCTAAATCTCGCCTGAACTTGGGGGATACTCTCTCCTGTGTCCTGTTTCCTGGTGTTGTCCTGGGGTCTCCTGCCGGTCTCCTGGTGGTTTCTCGATGTTCTTTTGCTGGTCTCTTCGTGGTTTCCTGGTGTCGTCGTCATGCTCGCTGGTCTCGCGCTGGTCTCCTGGGGAAGAGGGGAATGCTGTCGTCGAGCCTCCGGGATTGCGGACCTCGTGGATTTGCCAGCGCCGCACGAGGTATCTTCACAAGATTTTTGCGCAAGCCTCGGTCACACGAGTTTGAGCAAGGGCAAAGAGCGGAAGAGGTCAAGGTGCACTCTTTGTCAGAGACTCCGCGGCCTCACGAGCTACATGGCTGAGGCCCTCAATTGCTTCGGACCTCTTTGGCTGAGTCGTGCTGCTGCTGGCTTGCATTGGTTTCACCGGTTGGGTCTTCAGCAGGACGATTTGCTGCTCGGGTTTGCAACATGAGGGTATGCAAAATCCCCACTGAGGCGGCTTGCCGACTGAATCCGTCAGTTCGTCGTTAGTCTTAATGATCAAGCAGCAGTTTCTCTCCTGTATACATTTCCCGTCAAAGCTGCAAGACGGCACTGGTGGCTGGTGCTACGGGCAGCAGGAGCTTCAGAAAGATGCCCCATGCGTGTCGAACCTTCCCGTGCAGGCTATGCCTTTCCTTAAAAAGGGAGATGGTTCGATCGTGATGATCGGGTCCGTGGCTGGCGTTCGACCTGTCGGCAGCAGTGTCCCATACAGCACCAGGGCTAAATCAGTCCGGCCGGTCGTTTTGGCTTTCCAAAGTGTATCTAGAGACCACTCTTCCTCCACAGGCATGACACGAGCTGTCGACGGCTTAGTCGTTTGGCCACGACTCACGGCAATCAGGCCTTATCAGGCCTTGTCATCCATTGTTGATTACGCTGAGTGCTGGAGGCCATGCATCAGCTTACACGGCTGTTGGCGAAAAGCTGCGGGCCTGTACGGGTCAACTGCGTCGCGCCGGGCCTTATTGAAACCCGGATAACTGCTGGCAGCGACACTCTGCCTGCAGCGCGGGAGTATGTCTGGGCTGGAGAAGTCTTTTGGGCATCACAGGGGTGATCATGCAAGGAGTGGGACGGAAGCTACGAAGCAGTGAAACGAATGGCACCTATGAAGCGGGTTGGGAAGCCAGACGCTTGGTAACATTAGTGCGTGACCAGCCGACATGGCGGTTGATGAGTTGTGTTGAAGTTTGAAGGGGTCCAACAGCCGTAGATCTTCCTTGACTTGCATTGCATGGGAGTTTGCCATCAACTTCTGGCGATTACACAAGCCATGTGCGAAAAGTGGTCTGCCACAGGTGCGGCTGTATTCATCCAAACTGCCCATGTCAGGATGACCTCACAGATGCTGTTGTTTGTTGCATCCGCTCCGAGACACTTGGACAGCCAACATGTCGTCGGAATTGAGCACTAGTCTGACTCATGGCGGCTCTGTCCTTCACTCTTTCTCTCTCTCTCTCTCTGCCCGTCTTACAGCTTCAGTCTCATATTTTACAACAGTTGCCATGCATGGCAGGCAATCCCTCCCAGATACTGTATGAGTCTGTAGTCGCAGTTGAGGTACATGACAGGCCAAGTTATCTGCATTGATGGTGGGTCAAGTTTGGTTTTCTGATGGATGGAAGACGCTCTTACTTCCACCCGCCCATCATGGTTTAAATAGCTTAGCAAGCGACACGGCCGAGACTCACCCACAAGCGGTGGACAGAGACAAGGCCAACCACCGGAGGAGAAAGCGACGGAGTATGCTGTTGCACAACGGCTGAGCCAGAGGTGTTTGCAGGAAAAGTAATTATTATTTGTACATATCCGGACCACCCAACGAAGAATTGTGAGTTTGCCAGGCCTTCGTTCCATGGTGGCGTCAGGCTGGCCGTCAAGCTGCCTGCTACATCCCCGGCACCGTGTCGTTTGCATAGCAACTGGGGCATGGCCAGAGTTGACGAGCACGAAAACTCAGGTTGGCCAAGCATTCTTCTAGGCCCAGCTTCCAGCGAGGATGGTAGGCTGGGGCTGATGGCCATCGATGTGACAGCCGTACCTCAGCCACTGTCAACGTGAGTGCACCTGGCATTCTTGCATCAGCACGCAGAGATCCTGCAGGCTCCAAGCCTTCCAGCAGGCCGCGGACGCCAATTCCTTGCAGCTGCAGGTTGAGGTGCATCGTTTCCTCTTGCTGCCACGGGAGGGGTGCCGCATGTCACAAGGCAGAGGAAGCCAGGGTTAGTGCCGCTATGCAACAGCACATCCGCATCATGCAGCAACAACTCAACGGCGGCAGCAGCTACTGAGCAGCAACCAATATCCCGTCTGCAGGTTCTCATCTGAGGTGAAAACACTTCACGAGCAGGGGGTTACTGTGGGAAGATATGCTCGGACTATTGGTAACTTGCTCGTCAGGCCCTGCAAGACCACTTCTCAGATTTCTGGAAAGCTGCACTGCAAGCTTCGATGCATGTGGCGGTTGGAGACCGAGGCAGCTGCGGGCCTGCGCCGGCTGGGAGCAAGCTGCCAGCTCTGGTGGTCCCCCCAAACCTGGGCTCTGCAAAGTACAAGATGCCAGAAAATCAGTTCACACTTCGGGCATGATTTGCGCATCGTTGGCCTGCGACTACCGCAACTAGCGAGGCCACCGGGGGCCGGGATGATCGATGCCCGAGTCGTGCTGAACTTGGAGTGTCACGGGCTCCTTCAACTCAAAAGCCCTCCGAATTCTTACATCTTTTGCTCGGCTGGTGGCTGACAGCCGGCGAGAACTTCCACGCATGCACTCGTGGAGGCAAGCAGCACGCAGTGACGGCGACATTAACAGACGCAGCAACGGCAGCGACTGCGGCCAGAACAGGAGCAAGAAGACTGATGTAACAAGGCGAACATGTGCGGCACAGGCATTGGTCGCATCGTCACCGCCGCCAGCACATACTGTATGCCACTTCGGCAACGGCACGACAGTGCCCCGCCCCGCCGGTGCTGTCACCACCGCAGCAACAATAGCAACAGGACTCGAAGCAGCAACATCTGGCATCAATGAGAAGAGCAAGGATAAAAACGCGAACTGCGACAGCAGGAGACAGAGCAACATTATGCAAAATCGGTGGAACAACTCAGTTGCTTGGGAGCTGAAATCAGATTCATTTTCTGTCGGCAGCACGAAGCTACCTACCCCGCAAAGCCGCGGTGCCAGTGCACAGAAATGCAAAGAATGTCAGCTATCTGCAGTGGATGGAGACCGATTCGCGATCGCTTAAGACCAAGGTTTGGATGTCGTGGAGCGTCCCGCGGCAGTTAATTAGACCTTTTGACCTGCCAGCTAACCTCATCTGATCTCATCTGTCCGCGATGCGTTCGGCAGTTCATGCTGCGGTACTCGTCAATATTTACGACATTGCCGGTGCTCTTAACGGATGTTGTGCTTCCGGGGCGTGCGCACATCAGACTCAGGAGCCTGCTCATGCCAGCAGCCCCGAATCGACTAACCACCGATTTGTTGTACGACTGGTGCTGCAAAGGTCTGTCTGTAGCATGCAGCACAGGGGGGGGGGGGGGGGGCAGCCTCACCTCGCAACTAATGGGGGTCCAGCCGCGCGTGATTTTCACTCAACGGCGACTTCAAGCTGGGCCAATTGAAGTTATATTAAGGTTTCTGAACCATTCGAAATGATGTTGGCGTGGTAGAGCGTGGTAGAGACGAACTCAATCCGGTATAGAGAATCGCCAATGTCGCATACATTCATCATCCGTTTTCGAAAGCATCGTAGATGCAGTACAAGTACCTGCTACGAGAACACGTCTTTCTAATTTTTTTAAATGGTGTTTAGATGTGTTTAGCTTGTCACGAACAGAAACTTGTCATATCAGTGAGGCTTGGACGAACGCTCGAATCTTGTGTTTACACGGTGTTCAGCTCGGAACCTAGACGGACATGTACAGTTTCATTGTGTTGTCCCTGCGATCATAGCGCTTGTGTCAATGGGGGAGAGCTGGTATTCTGCATTCAGGGTGGGCCTGCATGCCTGCGTTTAGACGGGGGGAGACAGGGTTCCTTAAATCATACAGGGG